AAGAGAATTCCAAGGGAATTCTCTTGATTGATGAAAAATGCTGTCCACCTCCAGAGACAGCTCTGATGAACTTGAAAGCAATTGAAGCATACTTTTTTTTTAATTTGGGGGGTCTCTGTTTTTCTTTTGTAACATGGCTAATGTGGAAATATGTTTTTGCATCACTTCACATGTATCACTGACGTCAAATGGCTTGCCTTTCTTCTCAAAGAGTAGGGAGGGGCAGGAGGGAGAGAATTTGGAATGAAAAAAATTTAATGAATAAACATTTTTACATGTAATTAGGAAATATTTAATGAAATAAGTAAAAATATATTAGAGAAATTTTTTTTCTATCATGGTTTGACTAAAACAACATGTATGCTACCAGGTACATATTCCCTTTAGGATAAAGTACAAAGTTCTCAGCTTTGCATTTAAAGCCTTTTACAATCTGGCCCTTTACCTACATTTCCTGGTTTTAGTTCATGTTTCTCTCTTTTGGGTATGTTCCTGCCAAACGGGCTTCCTTGCTGTTTCCACCTCTATGTCTCTGCATAGGCTCTTACCCCATGGCTGGAACACACTCCCTCTTCAACCTATACTTCCCAGAGTCCCTAGCTTCCTTTAAAGCTCCAAAAAGTGTGCTGTCTCCTACAGGAAGTCTTTCTCATCTCAGCCATTAGTGCTTTCTTAAGCCTCCTCCAATGATCATATAAATACTTTCCTTTTCACCTTGTGTGTCTCCCGGTAGAATGTAGACGTCTTGAGGGCAGATACTGTTTTTCACTGTGTCTTTGTACCTCCAGTGTCTAACACAGTATTTTGTATATGGTAGGTCCTTTATAAATACTAACTGGACTGAATGGTCTGATATAAAAGAATAGTCAAGAACTGGCCTCCAACAAACAGGACTAAAATGCGACACCAGGAATTTTTTTTTTTTAACTATCAGCTAGATGGCCCAATGGATAGAGTACTGAAGTCAGAAAGACTCATCTTCCTGAATTCAAATCTAGCCTCAGACGCCTACTAGTTGTGTAACCCTGGGCAAGTCACTTAACCCTGCTTACCTCAGTTTTCTCATCTGTAAAATAAGCTAGAGAAAGAAATGGCAAACCACTCCAGTATCTTTGCCAAGAAAACACCAAAATGAGATCACAAAGAGTCATCAGGACTAAAAGTGACTGAGACATATTATGTTGTCTTATCTCTAAATTCAGAGTCTTCATTTCCCATGGAGTTTACAAGTTATGGATCTTCCCTTTTCTGTCAGATCGGAAACATGACCCAAAGAAACAGAATGTCAGGGCAGGTGAAGAGAACACTAGGGCCAGCCTTGGCGAAGCAGTGAGCTTATCACCAACCAGAGCCAAGCAACACAAAAAGAGCCAGCTGATGTTGCAGATTAGGCTGGCACCATGTTGGAGCAGAACAGGCAGCTGTCCATGTGGTGATATGAGAGGTGACAAAAGACCCCACCTGCCCTAAATCATCCCCCTCTCCCCCCAGGTCTGCTGTGGTGCATTAAATTCCTGTGTTACTTTGGGTCAGGAACTAGAAAGTCCCTTTCAACATGCAAAAGTCACCTAGCCAGTAAGGCACAATTGGTCATTAATACTCAGATAGAATTACTTTCTCAGATTGGCCAGCCAGTCACTTAGCCAACAGCTTGGCTGGTCTCATCAAGAAGGCAGTACAAATAAAATCACGTCTTCTACATCTATATGCCCACTGCCTCAGGATCAGTGCCATGCACAAAATAGGTGCAATAAATATTTCTAGCCATGTGAATTTTGGGAAGTCACCTAATTTCTCTGAGCCTCAGTTTCTTCATCTATAAAATGCATCTATAAAACATATAAAATACACTACATACTACACAGAGGTGTTGTGAGCAAAGTACTGTGTTAATCTGAGGGGTTTTTTTTAGTTATTTGTTGAATGAATTAACATAAATGAATGAAAATAATGCCTTACTCTTGTATAAAACCACAGTATTCCTGTACCTGTATTATTGAACGTTAGTCTGAGAGTAAGAGGTTAAAAGGAGGTTGATTTCATAGAAACACAGTAGTTCAGAAGTCAGAAGATCAGAATTCTCATTATATCCTTGCCCTTAACTAGAGCTAATTGCTTCTTTTCTTTGGGCCTCAGTTTTCTCTTCTCTAAAATGGGAGTATGAGGGGAGAGTGGGTTTTGGACTAGACCATCTTTAAGATTCCTCACTTTGAATAGTGGCTTGCTTAAGGGCTTACTGTTTGCAAAATTTAAATACCTCCCACCTCTAAGTGTAAGTGGAAAAGTGCTTTAAATTACAGAGATTTCAAAGTAAGTCAACTAAAATGATTAAAGAAATTGGAAGAGCCTTCATATGATTACATGCTTTTAAAAAAATTACGGCCTTTTGGTCTAGAAAGGAGATGTGACTGAAGTTTGTAAAATCGTGAAAAGTTCTGCGTCAGATGAACACAGGTATCTACCCCAAATCATGGGGTGTACTGAGGGTACTCAAATCTCAGAATATTATTGTTGTGTTGTTCAATTGTATGTGACGCTTTGTGACCCCATTTCGGGTTTTCTTGGCAAAGATGCTAGAGTGGTTTGCTGTTTTCTTCTCCAGCTCATTTTACAGATGTGGAAACTGAAGCAAACAGAGCTTAGTGACTTGCCCAGGATCACACAGCATGTAAGTGTCTGAGGCTGGATTTGAACTCAGGAAGATGAATCTTCCCGCCCCCAAGACCAGTGCTCTATCTACTGTGCCACCTAGCGGCCCTTCTCACAATATTCACTGGTCATAAACTTATCGAAAATCATTACTTAGAGAGAACTAAGTACTGGTACTGGCTAGCAATTTTACACAGATTCAAGAAAAGCTTAATTTATTGATAGGCAGGGATGTGCTGGTAAATGTTTAGCAACCAGCTATCCAAAAAAAAAATTAGGCATGACACACACTTTTAATTTTGATCTGCATTATTGATCCTTTCTTCATCACTTTCTTAAATCTAGGCAATCAATAGAACAATATATCAAGCCCCAATTTGCAGTACTTTCTGATTTTCTGAGTGCAAATTCTAATATTGAAAATTTAACAATCAGCTCTCGTGGGCTGGTTTGAGCTGGCAAGTACATGAGGCAAGCTGCCAAGTCCTGTTTATTCTTCACTGGCAAAATCTTCTTCTTCTTCATTTTTTTCTAAATCTAACTTCTTTTTTCCATTTCCTCTGCACTCATTCTAATTTGGGGCATTATTTCTTCTTGTCTAGACTAACAATATAGTTTCTCCATTGGTCTTCTTACATCTGGTCTAGAACTGTAACTAGCATAGGGAGAAGGGTCCTTTCCTATCCACCAGGAGGGCATACTTCCACCCGGCTTTGAGGGCAATTGCCACAACTCACCTCATTGTACTTGGCTAGCCTGTATCACTAGGTAACCACCCCTAGGTTGTCACACCTTTTCCTCCTACCTGCCCTGGGGATGAAAACCAGGTTACTCTCTGTCTTGGCTTAACCGCACCTTAAAACAGACTATCCTTTATGCTTTTGCTCCAACCCTATTCCAAACTGGTTTTGCCCTAGACGAAAAAACTCTTAATTATGTCTCCATTGTAATCTCTCCCCTCTCTGATTCTGATTCTGGCATTCAAGGCTTTCCAGAATCGTGCTCCTGTCTAAGACGGAGGAAGAAAGAAGAAAATTGGATTTGTATTTAGAAGGCTCTTCCCTGCTTTTCCCCTTGCAGTTTCTGCAAGAAGCAACAAGGTTCTCTGCAATGCTCCAAAGCCACTGCCTTCAGGCATTCAAGGTCTCAGGGTTTGTCTATTTGGCACATTTCTAAGAAACTTTCCATTTTCTGTAGTGTGCAGTGCCATGCTGAGAAGCCAGAGATGGGAGCAGAGACAGGAGAGAGGTTATTCAGTGGAGCTCTTTGCAAACATTCACCTCTGTAACAAACCTATGCATGAGTGAAATTGCCCGTTTCACTCCCTTTGTGCTGAAGATACAGAGAGAGCATCTGGAGGGGGGCTGGATTTATAACCTCCAGACCTTTAGGAAATCAGCACTGAGAGGGCTTGCTACTGATTCAAAGGAATCTAGATCTCTAGCTGGAAGGAACTTTCCAGGCCATCTAATCCAGGCCCCTCATTTTATCAATGAGGAATAGAGGCCAGTGTCACACAGATAATAAGTAGCTAGGGAAGAATTTGAACCCAGGTCCTCTGACTCCAGATCTCAAACATTACTTATTATCTGCCTTGGATTCTGCTCAAGTAAATGTGCTTTGTTTACCATCATGTGTCATTCTGGCTTGGTCGGGGAGATTCAATAGAAATTCGGACTCATCAGTTATGAATTGAGATGCATAATTATGCCTTTGAATGCTGTGGACCTGGGAGTAGTCCATGGGAGCAACATTAGGGAGTCCTCAAAGTGCCACATTTAGGGCTAGCATTTCCAAATCCACTAAGGCAGGTAGGTGGCATGATAGATCGAATGCCAGGCCTGGACTCAGGAAGACTCATCTTCCTGAGTTCAAATCCAGCCTCAGACACTTACTAGCTGTTTGACCCTGGGCAAGTCACTTAACCCTGCTTGCCTCAGTTTCCTCATCTGTAAAATGAGCTGGAGAAGGAAATGGCAAACCACTCTAGCACCTTTGCCAAGATAACACCAAATAGGGTCACAAAGAGTCAGAGGTGATGGAAACAAATGAACAATTGCCTGACTCCCACGCCATGTTAGTGTTCTCTCCCTCCCGAAATTGCCTTTTATTTACCTATATCTGAGCTATTTACAACTTCCCTCTCTTCCCAGAAAGACCTTCACTGTAGAGACTGTTTTGTGTCCATCTTTTTGTCTCCCTTCCCCAGAATGATGCATTGCACTTCCTAGGGGTTTTTTTTAGTAAATGTTGATTTGAACTGGACACACTCCCATGTTTGAATTTAAACTTCTATAAATACTTTTTCTCCCATCTCCCCAAATGCGAATGACAATTGTAATGCTACTCACACGACTGTAAAGCACTTTGAGATCCTTGACTCGAAGGCACTGAGTGTAAGAACAAAACCAAACAAATCATTATTACCGCATTCTTAACATTTAAAGTAGTTGTCCACAGTGGAAACACACACTGAATGCTTACCTGGCTTGGATTTTCTTCTTTTCTTGTATCTTACAAGGAACACCACTATCAAAGACAGCAGGAGCAGTAACAGCAGCGGAATGCCCACCATTAGCAGCAGCTCTGGGCTCATCATACCCTCCCCCTCTGACACAGCTGAGGGAGTCATAGTTGAAATTCGAAGGTTGCCCTCTGTCCCTGCATCATTTTCTCCTTGTTCTGGGGTAGAGTACAGCTCTGTATGCACTTCCACCAGGAATGGAGGGATTATTTCTTCCAAGACAAGTGGCTCATCTCCAGAATATTCTGGAGGTGTAGCAAAACCTGTAGAAACACATCTACATTGGCAAAAAGACAGGGCTGATGTGTTGTTTTTTGTTACTTTAAGTGATCTTGTCCACACCCACTGAAAGCTTTTCCCTTTACTTCAATATGGCATGGGCAGTGATTTCCAGCCTTTTCAAGGATGAAAGCCCATCCATTTTTAAATAAAAAGATTAATTTATCTGAGAAAAACATTTTGATTTTGCACATAGGATTATAGATTTTAAAATGAAAGAGATCTTAGAAGTCATCTATCCAAGCTGATTTGTCCAAGGTCACATGACTAGTAAGATGCAGCCTCTTTTATGGTCGCCAGTCTGATCCTTTCCACTGGGTTTTGGGTAAAAGTCATTGGTCTCTGACCAGAGGGCATTGGTTTAGCTACTTAATACCCCAAGGTTTAATATCACCTTTGAATGCAACTTTCTGGTCTAGGGGCTTAGGTCTCTCTGGACACCTCACCCAGCTTATGGGAATCATTTCCTATGTCTCCTGATTTTCAGTTAGGGTGCCCCTAGGTAGTTGTTCATATAAGGGCTATTCACCTCATAACTACCAAACAGTTCTCAAGTTTCAGGTCGCCCAGTTTTCCAATCCCAAACCTCTTCATTCTCCCAGATAGGTGAGTGAGCAGTAAAAGGCACAGGGACATTAGCTTTTCTTTTTGCCCGGTTGCATTCTTAGCCTTTTATGGCCAAGCTTGGTCAAGCCTTAAAAAAAGTTTTGGGCTCAGTTTTACATTTTTTTCAATTGTTATAGTTTTTCCTGCTTGCCTCTCTTGCTATTGATACAGCAACAGCAGCAGCATCCAAGCTGGACCATGAGGGACCATGGCTGAGAGAAGTAAAGCTTCTGGCTTCTCAACTCCCTGGGAGCAGTGGCTTCATCTTCTGTACTACTGCATGTATTTTCCCCTTCCATATTTTGTTCTGAGAACTATTATAACTATGTGTGTGTATATATATATATATATATATATATATATATATACACATATACATATATATGTATGTATATATATGTATGTATATATAATAGATATAGATACAGGTATGTTATCTGAATAATAACAGTTTATAACAAATTTGTTATAAGGATCAAATAAGTTAGTATATACTAAATGCTTTGTAAACCTTAAATCATTTTAAAATGGCAACAGTAATTATTATGATTATTAGTACATTGGTTTAACATTAACTTATAACATGAGAGACAGCATGGCATCAGAGACAGACAGCTACCAGTCTCTGAATCAGGAAGATCTGAGTTCGAGTCTTTCCTGACATATAAGGGCTGTGACCCTGGGCAAGTCACTAAAGTTCTCGATGCCCCAGATAACTCTTTAAGATTTTAAGTTGCAGAGATGGTGCTGAGCTTCACTGGCAGAGGGAGTTTCCTCTTTAGGAATTCCCTACACTGCTGAAATTACTAGTCCATCCGACCTAAAATTGATTGAACATATAAGGAGAAGTAACAGCATATTTGAGTATACAGAATAGAGGGAGAGACAGACAGACACATACAGAGACAGTGAAACACATAGAGAGAGACAGAGACAGGAGAGACAGTGATAAAGACAGAGGAGATAGGAGAGAGAGAGAGAAGAGAGAGAGAGAGAGAGAGAGAGAGAGAGAGAGAGAGAGGAGGAAGAGGAAGAGGAGGAGGAGGAGGAGGAGGAGGAGGAGGAGGAGGAGGAGGAGGAGAAGAAGAAGAAGAAGAAGAAGAAGAAGAAGAAGAAGAAGAGAAGAAGAAGAAGAAGAAGAAGAAGAAGAAGAAGAAGAAGAAGAAGAAGAAGAAGAAGACAGGAAGACAGAGAGGACAGACAGAAAGACACACAGACAGACAGAGAAAGAGAAAAAGAGAGGAAAAGGGAAAGAAACACACACAGAGGGAAGAGAGAGGGGGGAGAGACAGAGAGGCAGAGAATGAGAGAGACAGAGAGAAAGAGACAGTGAGAGACAGTGAGAGACAGAGAGAGCAAATAGATACTTTAGACACATTTAAATTAAGAACACTGAGAAACTTTGTTGATTTAATACAGCAATTCTCAGCCCTAGTTTAGAAGTACTGTAGGCTGTCTTTAATCATTTCCTGTTCAGATTTGGGTTAGACTTCCATGACCTCCAAGGCCACTTCTAGCTCTGGGATTTTGTGAATCTATTTCAAGGGGCGTCATGAAATTCTCTGAAACCAAGTAATTTAAATTCTGTGATGACATTAACATATGTCATGCAATACTTTGAGAAGTGGAGCAGGAAGGATGCATTGTGAAATTGAATAATCAATTATAAGGGATCCAAGTTCTAAAGGACTGGGAATTAGTGATAGAGAATGAATTAAAACTGAACTGTGTGTATTGGTTTACATCTCTGAAACCAGTGACTCACAATTTGTAGAACTCTGTCTGCTAGACTGAGATTATCTGACTGCAATCCTCCTGGGTATTTAATGAAAACAAGATGCATATCACATGAAATTCTCTTGGGGCAGCTTCATAGGAACCAGGAAGCAGCTTCAGTTACATTATGTTAATTTAGTAGAATATTTAGAAACTTTTTGCTATGAAAAACATGCAGGAAAACTATCCCTTTCCCAGAATCCAGGTATTTGATTTTTAAATGACCGTGTAAATTAGGACTTATGACAGGGTAGATCTGCTTACCAGCATTTGGTTGGGGGTGGCAGGAATGCTGTTACCCATGTAGAATTTTTTTTTTGTCAGTTGATTCATCTTTCCATGTTGCTGTTGTTGATGTTGAGTTGTTTCAGTTGTGATCCCATTTGGGTTTTTTGGTTTTTTTGGGGGGGGGATGATACTGAAGTGATTTGCCATTTCCTTCTCCAGCTCATTTTACAGATGTGGAAACTGAGGCAAACAGGGTTAAATGACTTGCCCAGGTCACACAACTAGTAAGTGTCTAAGGCTGGATTTGAACTCAGGTCCTCCTGACTTCAGAGCCCATGCTCTATTCACCTAGTTTTCTATACCTTTGTGATAAACTGAAGAAGAGCTAAAATGTTTCATTTCTACCAGTGGTAGACTGGTGCCCATAATTTAGTGAGAACCAATTTGAGAAAATTTCATTCAGCTATGCAATTCAAATCTGGCCTTAGTCATAAATTAGCTGTGTGATCCTGGATATGTCATTTAAACTCTGTTGCCTCTGTTTCCTCATCTGTAAAATGAGGATAATAATGGTACCTATCTCTCAGGGTTGTTGTGAGGATCAAATAAGATAAAAATTGTAAAGCTTCTAGCACAATGCTCAGCACATAAATATTAGCTATTATTATTATTATTATTATTACAGGATTCATGGTCTCCTTGGGAACTAGAGTCCCAAGAAGCCTGTGTGGAGAACAGCAGGTAATGATGATATCCAGAACGGAATCTGATTGCCAATGCCAAGTCCAATAGATGGTGAACCCAGCCAAATTCTAGGAACTTGAAGATAGCAGTACTACAGAAGATTGGGCTGTGGAAATATCTTGTCATCCTGAAGATCAAGTCATATCTCTGTCTCTAAAGCAATCAAATCCTGGCTCTGCAGCTAAACTGCCTATTATAACACTTAGCTTTCTCGCTTTCAGTTTCCTCATCTAGAAAATAGGATTTGGCTTAGATGATCTCTACGATCTTAGAGCTCTCAATCATATTGCCTATTGTCAAACTGGACACAGAACTGCCAGTTTTGCCTTCTCTTTTTTGACACTGTATATCAGTTAATTACCCCAATTTGGGTTAAAATTACCAAGAGAATCCGGTTGTATTGGTTATATGACAAACTCTTTTTTCAGCCAAGTCCTCCTCCAATGCTTCTTCCTGGTTTAGAAGTAATCTTGGGTTTTCAAAGTCCATGACAGTAGAGTGAATTTAAACTGTAGCAGGTTCTACCAAGGCACAAAGACTTTGATTCCAGGCTTAGTGATGGAACATATATATATGAAATGAATATATATAGTGATGGAATATATATGTGTGTGTGTGTATAGATAATTAGATAGATAGATAGATAGATGACAAACCTAGTTAAGTTTGGAGAGCTAGATCGACAGGTTGGCTGTAGGTGGACACATTTTTCAGCTATTTCAACTCTTTTTTAAATTGTATTGATATTTTTGTTTTTATATTACCAATACTTCTTCCTATTTCTCCTCACCTCCAAAAACCATAACTTATAACAGAAATTTTTTTAAAGAGATGAGAAATAGAAAAAAATAAGCAAAACTGGTCAACACATTGAAAAAATATGGCAACATATGCAGTGTGCACACCTGTGGACCACACCGCCACTTCTGCAAAGGATTGGTAGGAGATATCTTCTTATATCTCTTCTTTGGGAACAGGATTATTCTTTGTAATTTTGCAGCATTCATTTTTGATTGTTTGATGGTTGCTGTTTTTTTCCTTCCATTTACATGCTGTAGTCATTATGCATATTGTTCTCTTGGCTCTGCTTACTTCACTTCGCATTACTTTGTATAAGTCTTTTGATGCTTCTCTGTATCCAACATATTTGTCATGGCTTATAGCATACTAATATTCCATTGCATTCATGTATTATTAGTCATTCCCAATCAATGGGCATCTATTTCATTTCTAGTCCTTTGCTACCACAGTAAGTCTTTTTAAAAAAAAAATTGACCATTTTTTCCCAATTACATGTAAAGAATATTTTCAACATTCTTTTTGTAAAATTTTGAGTTCCAAATTTTTCTCCCTCCCTTCCTCCCATCCCCCTCCCCAAGACAGCAAGCAATATGATATAGGCCATACATGTACAATCATGTCAAACATACTTCCACATTAGTCATGTTGTGAAAGAAGAATTAGAACCAAAGGGAAAAACCACAAGAAAAGAAAAAACAAAAAAAGAGTGGGGGGGAGGGAAGGATTGTTTGCTTCGATCTGCATTCAGACTCCATAATTCTTTCTCTGGATATGGTTAACATTTTCCATCATGAGTCTTTTGGAATTGTCTTGGATCATTATATTGCTG